CACGCCTGTAACAATATTATATATATGGTATATGAAATCTTATTAAGCTGGGATTGAGTAAATCCACAATCCCCCAGAAGAAAATAGCTTTCAGAATATACGAGTTCAACCGCAACATCTCCCCGCGGAATTCGCGACACAGTTGCAGAATCAAGAAAAAGAAAGAGAGAACTAAATTTTCTAGAAACATTTATTTTATCAATAAATCAACTTAGATGGGGGAACGCAGTGAAAGAAGAATTGGAAGCATTTGTTTGAAAGATAATGAGACATTTTTAGAAGCGTGACAGAGTTACGTATAGAGGACAGCAAGAATTTACATTGCCTTACTCTCGTAGGAAACTGTTCTCACAATCGACCAAAGTATTCGAATACTTGGAATCTTTCAGATGCTAAGAAAATTCTATTCTCTAAAATTAAAGCTAATAATGTTCGTCTTGGTCAAATTCTATAGAAATACGGCTAAATCCGCAATATAATATTAGTTTCAATAAATTGAAAAAACTTTGATCAAAAAGACTGGTAAATTGAATTTCTTGTGATAAAATTTTTTTTAAAGATATGTCTTTATATATATAAAAAAATTTCAAAAAATTACTGCTTAATTAATTATTTTAGGCTAATCAGTATTAAATAATTTTTATCAATTATTTTACATAACTCTTTCTACAGCAAAATAAAATTATAACAGTGTTCAATAAATAGAGCACTTAGGCAATGATCGATGACTAGTGAATTGAATTGATGAATATGTGAATTATGATTATAATAATATACTTATATCAAACAAATTCGATCATAATCGATAATCACTAAACGTTCCGAACGCAGCCAGTATGTCTATAATAAATCATATATAATCATCAGATTAATAAATGAAATATTACGTTGTTTAAAATCGTAACATATTTCGTCAACTTGTGACTCTGAAGATTTATTCATTTAGTTATTTTTTTTTATTGTTTAAAAATAACTAAATAACAGAACTTTTTTTGCATACTGTTTCTTGCAGAAACTAATTTTGCTTATTGGTTGGCTGTCAGTCAGCTCGTGCGGTCGTAGTTTCTCGCAAGAATGTTAGCAGAATTTTGAGGTGGCTGTCTACCGAGGAAGTTAATACTTGGTATTTGAATGATGTAATTAGTAGAACGTGGACTTTCCTCACAAGATAAGCCCGTGCAGTTTCCCAGGAATTCAATTTAGTCCCGCTGTGACCAAGGACCACACGGGTCGAAGAGGCGGAAGGCTTTAATGAAACACGGTCGTGATTACCGGCAACACTTTCCTGCGTACAAACGAAAATTATTCTGTGACCTTTCATGGGAAGTGATAATCCTCTATCCCTCAGCAGCGACCCAATAATTAAGCATTTACTGCATTAAAGTTACGTAGTTCAATCTACGTGCGGTGTATTACATGGATAAAATGCGAGCGCTGTGTAGAAATATATAATTAGTTTTGGTTAGTTTTAATAATAATAAATAAAATTTGCTAATTATTAAATTGTTAATATTAATGATACAAACTCTGATCCGATATCGGAAAAACTTAATTTTGTAGAAGAGAATTTTATTAAAGAGAAAGTACAGATAAAAATGATAAACGAAATGAAATTACTGACGCGGCACTATCTGCCAATTGTCGCCAAATGTACGTGCGTTTCCTCTACGCGAATGTGCTTATACTTCTAGAATATAGATTGTACAGTATGAAACGCAGCCGGTGCTGCATAAGATTCAGCATAAATGTGCTAACTCCAAATAGTGAGCATAACTTTTTTTTAAAACCTGGACTGAGAAAAATAAATTTTCTTACTTGTAAATGACTTCTGCAACAAACTTTTCTCGAATAAATTTTCTTTATCTTTGACAAATTTATATACAGACTTTTTTATACGGGTTCGGTCTTTCGTTCGCGATGCAATTTCCTCATCTCGGTCAAACTATAAACATTTTTCAATTATTCATACAAAATTTATTCGACGCTTGAGTTGTCAAACATAAAACGCTTGCAGTATAAACAAATATTTTAATTTTTACAAATGTCGAAGCTGTGCATTTAAATTTACCATGCACGTTGCTCTGCAAAATGTGACTACAGGTGTCACATGGTTCCGTGGCCGTGGACGTGCGTTATAATTGCAACTATCATATCCAGAGCTTGACGTCATGTGCTTCACCAAAATTGGACTTGAAGCGTCACTAATCTAGCAATCTAATAATGCTAATTACGTTGTACAGCGATGACGAATGTTTCATTGCAAACTGCGCGTAATTTCGTTCACGTTTCGTTCTCATTTACATTAATATCAATTGATTTCAATCTCCGACACAGTTTCCGAAAATTATATAAACTATATAAGAATTATTTTTGTTGAAATATTATTTTCGTAGATTTTATACTTTTATCATCCATATTTTTGTTTTGATTAACTTTGCGCGTTACATTTTCCAAATATATAAAATCTCTGATTACAATGTTATCATATTTCGACGACAAAAATATTCGAATACGCAATGCATACGCTTTTGTGTTCCGAGAATATTATCAAACGCTCGCACGCCAGCATGTAGACTCAGTTAATGTCAACGGCATCTGAGCGAAATTTACAAACCATTGCAGAGTTTATGCTTGTATAATACTGTCAAGACGCTGTGGGTTGATTTCAGTTAAAATTAGCATAAACTGTGGAACAAGTGGAACAAGTTAATATTAAAGCAAAATGTCATTTATAAATATAACGTCAACAACGTCACACAACATAAATCCTGAAAAATGAGATTTGTACGACAAATCATAGTAAGATAAAAATCGTCAGAATTACATAAACACCTAATAAACTCGAACAGCAAATCGATAAATAAGAAAGTCATTACCGATGATTTATCTATTAATATTATGATTCAAACATGATTTGAAAATGTTTACGGAAAAGGTCGCATTCTAATGTGATGTCGTGGTTTCTAAGAAGAGATAAGGCACACTGCGGAAATCACGTGTTGAGAAGTGTGATAGCTACCGAGCGAGATAAACGCAAGTTAGAAAAAAAGAAAGTGGCAAATTCAAAGAAAATAACTTATAAAAATTTGAAAATGTATTGATAGGAGAAATTTTTAATTGAAATATTATCGGCCTGTGAATATATGAACATTGTTTGCGATTAACGGAATTTCGATAATAGATTGTTAATTATTATTTTCTTTTTTTTTATATTAAATTGGCACAACTTAAATCAGCATTATTTCATTTTTTTTAACCCCATAGTACTTTTTTTTAAATTTTTCACAGAATTTATCGAAATTGAAAATGTTCATAAAATATGCATCAGCCATTATTTGCAAATTCTATTAACGTTTATTGTTAAAAGTTACAAAATTCAATAAAAAGTTCATTGCCGACATAATTCGCCCACATAAATGCTAACAACGATCGATATACTTGTTACGGGAGGTGTGCAAAATCTCAGTAACAGGTATTAAACGGTTGCGCACTTTCCTGCCACGTTCCCTTCATTTCCATTTTCGCTTCGTGTATTCTCGTAAACTACGGGAGTGTCGCGGTTGCAAAGAGATTTAACTCATTTCTGACATCGAGACGATCATTTAATTACGTCGCAGCTGGCTGGCGTTTCGCGCATTATGTTCAGATTAATTCCAGACGGTCTCGGCATGCAACATTTCGTATCACGTCGAATTTTCATAAATCCTTCGCGGACGTGAATCATATTATCGCCGATATCGTAACGCTACTGCGTCACGTTTCCTTGAAAAATTAATGTCAAAACGTGACGACTGGATCGCACATCAGACGCGCACGTGACTTGGATCCGCAACGATCGATTAAAACGAGATTTAACGTATTGTATAAACGCCTATGCTACCTTGAACGTGTGCGAAATAATGGGGATTGAAATGAAGTGGAATGCTGGAAACATTGAACACGTTGTACCGGTATTTCATTCTCGCAATAAATTCTGGGGGTTCCGTTGTTGGACTACGTTTTTCATCAATTTTGTAAATTGCTTTACGAATTTGACAACTGATTTTTTTGCGAGGCAAATTTGAAGAACCAATTTGTCTGTTTTTCTTTATATCTTTTTTATAATCTCCAATATTAAATACCGTAATAACTGAGTGTAAAATTTAATTTATTGGAAATTAATTAAAAAATTAGACATCGTACCTTAATATCTCACGATTTTTACGTGGAAAAATTAAAACTAGGTTTTGCACAACACACAGAGATAAAATATTTTCTAAAAATAATCATTAAAAATTATTCTCAGTACGCTGAATAAAGAGATTGTAATTGTTAATTAAATTTGTGGAAATACATTGCATTAGAAATATATATATATATAAACACATAAGTATAAAATCAATAACGTCCAGCAGGGAGAGGACAAATAACTCGGATCTATCGCTCCCGAGATATTGAGCACAAAATAAAAGGGCACAAATCTTTTCTGCATTTTATTGTGTTTTTTTTATCGGTCAGTCAAGTATTTTTCTTAGCTCTCTGACTGGAGGTAAAATACATTTACGTGATATTTCGGAGTACACTCAGGCGTGATATTAGGCGCAGGTTTTTGTCGATAAGCGTATCCCGGTTGTCCCGGTAAGCGCATTTGTAAAGAATTTGATAAAATTGTAGCAGAAATCAATAATGCAAGCAAGCGGAAAAAGAATAAATGTCATGTCTGGTACATCTACCAAACATTTTAGAACATTTTATACGGACACTTTATACGTATTATTTTTATTATTACGTAATTTTATGTATACATTTTTATAGCAAAAAATAATTATAAACAACTATATATATTTATTTAATTAGCAATAATTATATATGGCGCACAATAGTTATTTAATAAAAGCAAATAGGATGTGAATATCGATGCTGGATCCTTTCATGCAAGAAAATAATTTGCATTTTACAAGCTAAAAATGAGCAGCCGATGAAAAATTACTGAACCGTAACCGCCTCTCGTCTTGCTCCAGGTGACGTGCCAGGACGAAGAAGCTAGTCAATGCATACCAAAGAAGACCTTCCAGGCATTGCTGCGCTTACCGGAAGTTAGTTCGAATCTAGCAGCCTATTCGAGGACAGCAAGAGTTATCCAGGAAACAAAGAATCCTAACGACATGGAAAAAGTTCTCAACTTAGAGGAAAATGACGAGGAGATTTGTATACCCGGTGCCGTTTACTTGGAGCTCTTCAGAAACCCGGCGTTGCGAGGACATCTCAGTGTCATGGCGCGTACTCAAAAGTTGCCCGAATTTCCCGGACGCATTCTCGATAGTGAGGAAATCTTAATTCCCGAATCGGAAAAACGCAGCCTCGCCACCTTGGCCAAGAACGATGATCTGCCGATGAGTATGCAGGGCCACGAGAGTGATGCCGATGATGAGGAGAAGAGAAGCGCACCTTCCGGGTATTTATCAAAGATTTTTATAAAGTTTAAATAATTCAAACTTTTATAGAACATAGTAATTAAAGTCTTTGCATGTAAACAAGAAGATTAAAAAAATTATTTTGTGACGAAACAATTTTTCGATAATTATTACAGATAAATATTTAATCACTTTATGATAATTTTATATCTAGATATTTATTGTTCCAGATAAATACCTAGTTAATAACCCTGCAATAATTTTTATATTAATTTTATCATTAAGTGAGTTGCTTCATTTATTCAATGTACTCAATTGCCCCAGTTAATTGAATTTATCAAATTAAACGACAGCCTGGACGGATCCCTGATACGCATATACAAGGAGTACTACGATCGACCTGAGATTTACGACTATCTGTCTGAGCTGGATCCGGAAGCCGAGTATCCGGTAGACAAGCGCAACGTCGGTTCTCTGGCGCGGGACTTCGCGCTGCCCACAGGCAGACGTCATATCGCCTCGGTGGCTCGCGATTACGGTCTGCCGAACGGTAAAAGAAACATCGGCGCTCTGGCTAGGCAAAGCACGCTACCGCAGAATGGCAAGAGGAACGTTGCTTCGTTGGCGCGATATTACATGCTGCCGCAGGCCGGCAAGAGGAACGTAGCCGCGCTGGCCCGAGAGTCCTTGTTGCCTTACGGCAAGCGTTATCTCGGCTCGTTGGCGCGCAGCTCTGGCTACCCGGTTCGCCAATACGACGAGGATAAGCGCAGCATCGCCTCGCTAGCCAGGAACTCCGATTTGCCAGCGGCTTTTGTGAAGCGGGGCGGCATGGCGCCGAGAACGATGATCATCCGGGTGCTGAATCGTCAAGGCAGATCCTTGGACGATGACCGCGAGACGCACAGCGAGCCCTTGGATCTGCAGCAGCTCATCCAGCAAGGGCACGACAGCCAGGACGAGACCAAGGAAAACGAATGGCAGAACGCATCTCCTTCCTTCGGAGTCTCGCAGGATCTGGATGAAAACAAGGCGAAGAACAGATCAAACAGGAGAATCGATGGCTCGTCGCAAACAAGGCACAAGAGGCAGATTGACTTCTCCGATGAGTATCCGCTGCCTGTCGTGCAAAACACCAATATGCTCGATTACGAGGACATGATCGAGGCGTTTGCCGATCACTATCCGAACGCAGAGAAGAGGTTCATGGGTGAGTAGAATTGTTTTAATGCGACATTTCCCGATTGAAATTTGGAATTTATTTCTAAAGATCTCGTAAAGTTTGTTTTACATTTACAACGCATTTAATGCGATTTCTGTTGAAATTTGTTTGAAATCAATTTACGGAGAAATCTCGTAAAGTTTATTTTACATTTATAATGCGAGCGGAAAATATTTCATTTTATCTGAAAGGTCAAAATGTTGCTGCTGGGTTTGTCACACGGGGATAATTTTACAAAAACAGAATTTAATTACTTTTTTTTTAAATTAATTAATATTGATTTTTCTTTCAATATATAATAAAGGCTCGTAGAAACTCAAATAGGGTGTTTTCAATAAATTTAAATAATATTAAAAATTGTCAAAGGCCGACTTTAAGGTTTTTCTGTAAATTGTCGAACTACTAATTAGAAGACGAAAAATTAATCAAAGACATTTGAAAAAAAAATATAAAAAAGTAAATCTCAAAAATTCAATGCTATGCATCTAACTCACTGATTGGTCTGTTAATAAAAAATCTACATTTAATTACTGAACTGCAATTGGTAAGCTTAAACTCGGATCAAATTAATTGCATCTCTTTTACATCCATGATACATTCGTGGAATATCTTTGCTCGTTTAGCTCGAATTCTCGAAATTCCACTGAATTAGCGTAGGTGAAAGCCACGCTACGTTAACCACGTATCAACGCGCGCTGCCAACTGTAATACTCTGTCGGGAACAGGTTCCGCGCCGGAGATGCCGGCCGACTCGGGCTACCCTGAAGTGTTGCAACTGAGTAAGAGACATATCGGAGCCCTCGCACGCCTCGGCTGGCTCCCGTCGTTCCGCGCCCCACGATTCTCTCGATCGCCGCGTTATCTGGTCGAAAGGTCAGGCCGTTAGGTCAGCCGTTCTCTTCCGTGTCCTCCGCCGTGTCCTCGTCTCCTACCTCGATGTGATATGTCAACCGTTTTGTCGTACCTGTAACAAGTCAAGTAGAGCTCCACCACCTACAAACTGAGAAAATATGTCATATCTATATGTGTGTGTGTGTGTGTGTCAGTACCAACAGAACTATCTAAGCCTTTACGTCACCGCAAATAATAACTCAAAAAAAAAAAAAAAAAAACCAACCACCTACCAACAAATCTACAATCACCACGTACAAAACAAATATGTTCTCCAAATTGTGTCTTCTTCTTCTTCTACTACTACCATGATACCACCCCAAGGACTCGTCACGGTAGCTAGGTGTACAAATTGTCTCGATGTAGTTTCTCGCTGTTAGAGACTAGCGGCTCAATGTTATTAGACCGTTATTAGATCGCTGGTAGATCAATATTAGTCGATTAGTGGGCGTAGAGTCGGTGTATAGTTTGTTTTACGTTCATTCGGTGTTAGTTGATTACTCTCAGTGTTTAATCGAATGGTTCTCAACGTTAATTAAATGCATTTTTGAACAGAATGGAGAATTGCGACGCAAAGGATGCAATTCGATTCGATCTCTACTTATCGCACTTGCAATTTTCGATAAACGTTGGGAATCATTGATGTGCCACTTCATGGCGTTTTTCTGAATATATTCAAAACTGCAGTGTTACATCGGAATGGTTTCTATTTTATTTTACTTTTATTTTAAAGATCCGTGATTACATTTCTCAGAGGAGTAACTCACGCAATTGATAGGCAGGATTGAAAACCATTACTGAAGGACACTGTATTATATTACATTGATGTTATATGTTCAATGATGTTGAACGTTTCTGTGCTGTCAGAATCGTCCTGGGAAATATTATTAAGTTATATCAGAAAAAATTAATCGCATAATTATTTTTTTACTTATATGTGGAAATTTTTATGATATTTGGAATGTCTCAAAGCTCACGAATGCCCTTTTAATGATTTTTTGATTAATTTGATTTCAATTTTTCTCAAGCAAAAATACCAAAGTATCAAGAATTTCTACGTTGCAATTGAAAAAGAAGTCTTTTTACAAAGCTTCAAAAAAGACATAATCAATATCGTCGTAGAAATAAATAAACAAGCAAAACTGTATTTTTTAATTTTTAGTAGATTTTATTTTAATAGAATATTAATTTAAAGCTTACTTGCAAATTTTTCTTGATATTTTAATTGAGAAAAAATTGATTGCAAATTGAATAAAAAAATTTGTTTATTATTAAAATGTCCGCTTTGAAATATTTCATATATTGTTTATTTATATT